ACGAAAAAAGAGATGTTTACCTATTTCTCTTTTAACATTCTCTCTATCTCTCTTCCTATCCTCCTATGCTTCAGGTCTCCATCGTTATCTGTCCTATAATGAGATTTTCTTTTACTCTAACAAAATGCCCTCTGATTGTTCACTCACTGTCTCTATAATATTTTCGTGTAATGGTGATTCTAAACTTTTGAGTATTCTGGTAAATGGTCTTGGGTAGGACGTGTTTGTTGCCACATTAGGGTTACATTAATTGGTTTTTTTTGCCATGTGTCTTTATTATTGTCTCCTCGTGGCTTTTACTGTAGTGTTTCAGCTTTATATTTAGCTCTCTCTCCCGAAGGACGTATACAGCCATTAGTCTGTGCAGCATTTGTTCTCTCTGTCCAGATATATCTTTATTTGTGGTGAAGATTACCACCGACTGAGAGATAACAAAAACCCAAAATACTTATATCACACTGTTCTAAAAATACAGACATAATAACAATGACGGTGTAATTGTCATATTATAAGACAAATAAAGAGGAAACAATATTGACAATGGTGGGTGATTAGTTTGTACTGTGTGTCTTCAGCGTGTGTGACAACTGTATGTGTTCCACCTCACTTGGGGGTCGTCAGGATCAATGTTGACCCTCACATATTATAAACCCGTCTCATTCACAACACGGGTAAAGAATTACACCTTCAGCCGTCTGGGGAACACAACGACACGGGTATACATTTTTAAACGGAAGCTTCATGACAGTGTTGTGTATTCTCTGTTGATATGCAGGTAAAAGGGGAATCCGCATTTCGTATGCAAACTGGAATTTACATGAGAGACGTCGAGGACATGAATCACTGCTCCCATCCACAGTTGTTGTCTCACCTCACCTGCTCATATCATGTATACACACGGGTATATAGACGTTTCCAATGATATTATTTAGCACTTTCAGTAATCTGATTAGCTCCACGCAAATCACCTGCTCTCAATATAATTAATATAAATTGATCATTCAACGTAAACTAGCTCAAGTTTTTCTTTATCTTTTTTAAAAATGTTTATGATAGAAATCAAGTGTGATGTGACGTTCTTCTCATTTTTTTCACTATCGCCGATTTATGAAGTCAAATAGAAAATGATGATGGAAGTATAGGATTAATGCGTATATCCTGGAACATCTAGAAAAGTAAATACAAATTATCTACTTATCCGTATATAAGTAACCTGACTTAGCCTGACCTAACCTGACCTCTGCAACTCATTTACCAGCTGTCACCAGGTAACTCACTTTTATTTAACCCTTTATTTAATTTATTCAGTTATTTACAATCACAAAATAAAACAAAAGTCGTCTCCTCTACACAGCTCTCAGTTGAAGTTATCTCTTGATCTTTAAGTAAAGGTGAGATTAATTTCCAATGATGTTCTCGACGAATTAACCCTTTAATTAATCCTATAAAGTGAAAAGCGTCGAGTAAAATTTATTAGAAACGAGAGTGAAAGGCGAGACTAAGAGGCTTAGTTATTATTCACACAACTTGACAAACTAAATGATTGACGCTCTTCACTCTCTGGTCTCACAGGTACACACACACACACATACACACGCACACACACACACACACACACACACACACACACACACACACGAGTCACGTATATTATTGGGTGTTTTTCATCTGGGTGGCTGTGTGGGGATACCTGCTTTTATCAAGAGATGGTTATAATCATAAGCGGTATAACATTCTTGTTTCTGTGGTTAGATGAGGTTAGGTTAGTGTTTATATATGGTAAAGTTTTATTGTCTTCCTATAGTCTATAAGTCACTACCTCAGGTTATAATAATTATACTCTTCTCTGTGTCATTAATTACCTCTACTTAAACCACTCCAAACACTTTGGTACGGACGTTGGTGAGACATGAAAAGTTTCTTTACTTAACTTGACAAACATGTAAAGGACTTATCTTACCTTTTAATCGGGTTAAGAAACACTCCCGCGGTCAATGGTCGGAAGCCATAGACAGTCAAGGAAGTAAATATATTGAAGTTAATATCTTCACTTTTAATCCTTTTATAACCAGATGTTGAGCTGACCGTAAACGTGAGAGTAATAGGATGAAAATAATTATTGGAAGGAAAATAGTCATAAGGAACAAAGAGGTTAGCTGTAAGAAGTAGCAAGTAGTGTTATGCTTCTCTAGCTTGGTCAGGGGGTGGCGTTGTCATAGCGACCACCGTGCTGGGTTTATTTACGTGTGAGAGTGGAGAGTTCATATGCGGGTAAACACAGGCACAAAGAATAGAAAGGCGAGTATACACCAACACACACACACACACACACACACACACACACACATAAATAAAGACACACACACACATATACAACCATTCAGTCACACACACACACACACAGACACACACTCAAAATCTTGCAAAAATTAAGTCACGAAAAGTATATATATAAAGTACATGTACCTAACTGCGCGCATCTCAGGCTTAGTAAACACACCAACCACAACCACATAAGAACAGGTGAAAAAAAAATAACAACTACGTCACCAAGTCCATTATTAAACCAAATATAGCTCCACCTCTACTACCTACCAGGGTCATAAAGGGATTACAGGTTACGGAGATCACCTGGAAAGTTACCTCCTTGCCTATCTATGGCTTCTGACTGTTGACGCATGATTGTGTCTTAACCGGATTAACAGGTATAGGGAGACCAACCAGAGATGCCACTCACTTGAATAATGTATTTACTGTTCTAGAATACGTGCTTAAGTGAGCTGGTTGGTAGTAAGGTGAGACTCGCTAAAGAGAAAATTTTCCCAAAGACAGAAAAACAGGTCTTATAGCTGACTATGTTACTGGTGATGTATTTAAAGGAGATAGCAGAAAAGTGTAGGGCAAAGCAGCTCTACATTTATTCAATTAACTTAAGAAACTACAACACTGTAAGGTCTATAAGGTCTAGGCTTATTCAACAAAATAAGCTTACATAAGTTACTCTTGGTTGAAGGTCATCTGGGCGTAAGTCTTAACTAGTTCCAGTCTTACTGGACTTGAGATAAGGCTTATTCAAAAGAGTAATATTTCCCTCCTGCACAAAATGATACGTCAGGCCTACAGAACCCACTTTCACCTTGTCACATGTACGAATTCCTGTACTGTTAGAGATGAGCTTTTCTGGGCATAGTTGTAGCTCAAGCAGCTCAGTGTGGATTTTAAGGACATTGATACAGTAAAGGTGAAAGGTAGAGTCTTGGCTTAAACTTATGTAACATTGGAGTCTGAATTGTTCACTAACTCAGACTACAAATTAATTAAGATAGACACAGTTTATTATAGTGGCTCAGTACGCTGATTCATGTCCGTTCTTGAGTGTAATACAACGTGCGTAACCCGATTGTGTTTTAAAAGGATAATTTTTCTGCATAATTAAAAACCTGACCAGCCCCCACAGTTCAACCATTTGCGAGGCGAGATCTGAGTTTTCTAGCTGGCCTGTTTGGTGGTTGAGATCACCCCGGGGCTGGTATATAACATATCTTCTCTATTGGCCAGGTATTCATGGTGTTGACACAGTATTTACGGTCCCTCGCCGTTGTAAGAGGCCCATCTTCGTGACAACACCTGTTTGTCGGCTTCTCTCTTGGACAGATCGTTTATATATGTGTGTGTGTGTGTGTGTGTGTGGGCGTGTGCGTGTATATGTGTGTGTGTGTGTGTGTGTGAGGTAGTCGAAACCAATGAGACCGAGACCTGACTATATACTGAGACCAATGCCCCTCAGGTAACTGCGAGGGTTTACATTTCAGGTGAGACCAATCATCAGGTGACTCATGATATCCACTGTCACCTCTTGTTGGGGCCACACTTCGGGGAATAATAAGACGCACTCTTCCTTATCAGTAGACCAGAGCATCACACGAGCACCGCACTCTTAGAAGTGTCTTTAATATCGTTAACACAATCACCATTCCAGTAATATGATACATGTAAATAGTCCAGACATATTTTATTATACAAGCAGTAGTTCAACCAAGACCCACCATTGACAGTGATGAGTGCATACTTCTGTGCTGGGGCGGTTAGACTCCGTGCTACATAAGCTGAGGGCGAGCAGTGAGGGCCACCGTCACCTGAAGATTAGCCCGAGGTAGCATCGGGGCGGTCACACTTCGGGTGGGTTTAATTAACTGGCAGGTGATTCTCCAATTGAGCACTTTGCGGGAGCTAATATTCAGGTCATCCACACTTTTTTGTTTGCCTGTTTATAAGACAAGTTTTCTGGATAATTTTCTTAGTAAATAATTTAGGTATCAGTTCATGCAAGTAATTTAGGTTATTATTATTATTATTATTATTATTATTATTAGTAGTAGTAGTAGTAGTAGCAGATATCGACTATGAGGCTACAGTCACTGAATGCCGCATAGATCTGCGGCTCAACTAATTTAACACAGATAGGATAGTTTTATGTATTAGATATTTAATATTAAGGTAAATAAATGGTGGCGAAGGTGTGGCTATTGGGGAGGCTGAGGCCACGTTTAAAAAAAAAAAAAAAAAAAGGTAGTAGTAGTAGTAGTAGTAGTAGTAGTAGTAATAGTTTTTATTACTTGATGAACTTTATTATTATTACCATTAATAGTAGCAGTAATAGTAGTATCATTATTTTAATTTTGTTAATACTCTTATCATTTATCTAGTTATTATTACTTAATGCATATAATCGTTGACATAATAATATAATCGTTGACAATTAATTTGAAGTTCCCTCACACTGAATGTTCAGCAGCAGCAAATATATTTAATTAGTTTATAATACGACGCACCAAAAGATCAATCTACTGTATGTCTAGGAAGTTTTCTCAATACCTTTCAACCCATCAAAGATATTTCATCGTCTCCATAATGTGAACTGATGAAAAAGATTATTGTGAGTGTTGTTTTGCTTTACATTATAAGAAAATAAGGTGGATTTTAAAAGAAAAATAAAAAGATGGTATTGCAGCGTTTATTATTAGCAAGACATGGGGTAAGGAGGGTAGGGGGTATCACAAAGCCATAAGCCAAGTAGTGAATCAAATTGTCTAGTGTGCGTAGTTTTCAGCAGCAACAAATTGGTTGCTTTTCTACGTCTCTCTCTCTCTCAATCCGACGCCTATTTCTACTGTCAGGGAAGTAAACTTGATGGACACAATCAGCAATTACAGTAACATCTGATTGGTCATAAGTAGTGTCCAGTTCAGGAGGGTCGTTATGCCTTAGTTATTCTTGTCTCAGGTCTTACTTGCAGGGTTCGGACTCGGTCTTCGTAGACTTAGAGTCGTCATCCTTGGGCTCGTTAATACAGAACCAAGGAAGAGTCTCCTGGAGGGCGAGGCGGAACTTGGGGTGGGAGATGGCGAACATGATGGGGTTGTACACGGAGGCCGTCTTACAGATGAGACCAGGCAGGGCGGAGACCAATGGTGTCACCTTTGACTGGTCGCCGAACAAACCCTGGAAACACAAAGCGTCATATATTGTATAAAATCATACATTTTAGAAACAATTGCGTTATATATGACATATATTATGTATATATAAAATAACAGTTATAAGTAACTGTGTGTAAACAATTTTTTCTACCACACTCGATGCCTTAGGTTTATCATTTTCTTTCTTGCAAAACAACTTAATACTTACCATCATGACGACGTAGGCATAGGGAGTCCAGGTGAGTACCCACAGGAACACGTTGGCCACAGCTACCTTTGCGATGCGAACTTCTGCGCTCTGTTTGTTGGCATCGACGTTGGAGCGGAGATTTTCAACGTTCATCTTCTTGGCCTGGGCTCTCAAAGCCTTTTCGTGTTGACGAATAGCGCTCACAATTTGTGAGTACACGAAGATGATGGTAGTAAGTGGGATGCAGTAGCACATGATGAAGAGGAACAACCCGAAGGACTTGGTGCCCCAGTCTTGGCTGATGTAGTCGAAGCTGCAGGAGGTTAGGATGCCCTCAGGAATGTAGGAGTTCCAGCCGAAGAAGGGCCAGATGGAGATGGCGATGGAGTAGCCCCAGCACAACAGGATGATAAAGAAAGCCTTCCCGGAACTGATGTGTCCTCCGTCGAATGCCTTCACGATCACACAGTAACGATCGTATCCAATAGCAGCCAACGTCATTAGTGAGGTAAGACCAAATATGGCCCCTGTGAAGGCGTGGATCTGGCAGGCAAAAGCTCCCAGTGTCCAGTAGCCGCCACCAAAACAGTTCATGACATACATGGGAAACTGTGACACCATCATCATGAAGTCACTGAATGCCAGATTGACAACAAACATGTTTGCTGGTGAACGGAGACTTTTCTTGCATGAGAACAGATATATGACCATTCCATTACCAAAGAAGGAAAGAATTCCTAGTATAATGAATATGCCTGCCAGCAGATAGTGCCACATGGGGTTGACGGGAGGAAACTTACTCCAGTGGAAGTGAATCAGAGGCTTCACGTCATCAGGGACCATGTCCATCAGTGTAAAGCCTTCGGGGTAGCCAAAAGCCACCCCACCAGCCCTATAGGCCAATACCCCAGACACGTTGACTGTTCCAGCAGCCATTTCTGTGAAAAGATTATTTCAAGAAGTGTACAGCAGAATTCGCGGAGTGGACATTAAATGATCGACGTAAGGGATTCGTTTAGTTCGATTTAGCCTTCCTCGAGTCTCTTGCCGCTGACTGGCAGGAGAGGAGTGCGCTGCTTCAGCTTCAGACCCTCGTATATATGGGGAGTGTTATCCAGTTACCTCAAGTCGTTATGAAAGATGTGCTCCTTAAGACGGCATACTTACGTCTCCGGTTCCAGCTTGTGTTGTCGTTAGGTTTCCATTGACATCCCGTTAAGAAGATAGACTTATGTAAACTGTGTTAGTGTTCCTCATAACCCCCAGAAGGTCACAATAATGGTTTATTTGTAGTAGAGAAAGAATAATGTTTTTGTTGGAGATTTAGATGATAGAATTGTTGTCTTTCAATGTGAGATACACGTACTATCTATCTCTGTCCATCTATCTATCTATCTATCTATTTATCTGTGTATGTATCTCTATATAACTATCTAACTATCTGTCTATCTAGTCTAATCTAATCTTCGTGTTCATAATTGTCTTCAGTTTGATGTTAACAAGATTGTTATACCTGATAGAAAGTCAACAGTTGTTTTGTTTATCGAGTCTTGAGAGTTGTCATTTTGTATTGCAATATAACAAGAGGTTCGTTTTAAAAGTCATGGCCTGCTCTATTGAATGCTTTTATGAACCCTTGTTTAAATCAATCTTTTAATCCATTCTTTCTTTCTTCTTTCTTCTTTCTTCTTTCATCTTTCTTCTTTCTTCTTCAAGTAACCAATCAATGGGTCACGATCTCTTGGCACAGTGCCATTCGTCATTGTTTTCTTGTGGATGAACGTCAAGCGGATCTTCAATTACTTATTCACTGTTGGAAATATTAACAGGATGAAATATTTCTCGTTAATTTATTGAGAGTTGAATTAAAACTATTGTGGTGATGAACTTCCTGCATCAGAGATATAAATTACATGAAAATATAGTACAGTACAGCTCGTAGCAACTCATTAGTTAAGTCGTGAGAAGAAAATTTGAGTTGTTTTAAGTAAATTCATCTCGAGTAAATCTGAGATACCATATTTTGTTTTAATTAATAACAACTTTCAGTCTTCCTCAAGGTTTCTACTCCAATAGTTGATTCACACGAAAGAGCAAAAGATATACAGGTACTCATCCCGCCTCCATTAACTCTTCCTTATACCTTTTAACTCATCAATGATATTCCACAATTAGGATTTAAAAGAATATGGTGATGAAGACAAACCCTGCTCATGTATGTATGTATGTATGTATGTATGTATGTATGTATGTATGTATGTATGTATGTATGTCTATCTGCCTGCCTGTCTGTCTGTCTGTCTGTCTGTGCAGTATGTATGTATGTATGTATGTATGTGCAGTATGTATGTTTGTATGTATGTACGTAATTTTGTATGTAATCGGTGAACTAAAGCAATATGAAACAGTATATTGAAATGGAAGAAGACAAAAGTCTTCATACAATACTACTTTCATATTACTTCAGAAAAATGTGAGTCGTAAAAAAAAAATGGCCCTCAGGGTGATGTGGTGGTTCCCGGGGTGTGTGTCTGAGGGAGCGGCACCCGTCAAAGAATTCACTACACTTGTGAGTCATGCCAAAGTTAGTGAGGAGCCCACGTCCACACGGCCTCTACCACCAACAGTGAATCTAATACAGGAGAAAACTTGGAGTCTGAACCTATGAATGGAGGAAACTGCATATGTGTGTGTGTGTGTCTGTGTGTGTGTGTGTGTGTGTGTGTGCGCGCGCGCTCAGATGTCTTGTTATATTCTTCCATTTGTTTCATCAAAACAACATTAAGACTTCACATTATAAAATAGTGAAATCCTCTTGAGAATTCTTTGACTTGGTGGGAGGAAGGACGTGATCTACGTGACCCAGGTAGTGTGAGGCGCTGCGTTGCCATGTACGACCTGACATCTGGAGGAAGAACACACACACACACACACACACACACACATACACACACACACACACACACACACACAATTGTGTTATGTGATACCTGATAACATGCTACTTCAACTCATGTGATTACTACTGAGTTAAAGCCTCGCTATGTGACGTATATTTGAAAGCATTTAGTTAATTACCTCCACTATCGATAAAAACAAATACTTAGTCAATAATTAATCATAAATAAGGAGACGAAATAACACAAAAATAATTGGGCCTTTATTAAATACCACCATAAACATAATTACTAAATACTATCAATATTCCTCTTGTTAATTGGTTGATTAAATTAATTATATCTTCCATTTTTTTAATTAATTCTCATTATTTATTATTTTTTTGTCTATTATAATTTTATTGGAAGGGAAACAAGCAAATGATTGTATGAAAATATATATTACGATATGTATGTTACATATAGAATATAACTTAATAGTATAAAATTAAATTATTCCTCGACCCGCTAGACAGACAGACAAAAGACATACATATATTTGTCGTATATATCCCTGGTTCAATTACTTTCACTTCTGTGTATAATAAGTTTCTCTATTTTGATCGAGTTAGTTACGGCAGCTGGTGACCCACATGTATATGAGTATTATTATTGTTGTTATTGTTGTTGAAGCTGTGGTGAATGTTGTGTTGTAGCGAATATTACCTTACCTTACCTTACCTTACCTTACCTTACCTTACCTTACCTTACCTTTCTTACCTCACCTTACCTTACCTTACCTTACCTTACCTTACCTTACCTTACCTTACCTCACCTCACCTCACCTTACCTTACCTTACCTTACCTTACCTTACCTCACCTTACCTTACCTTACTTTACCTTACCTAGGCCTACTTCATACTTCTAATAGGATTAAATAAGACTTGAATGACTTCGAAGAGTGTTTAGAGAATCGGGCAACGCTTTAACGAGATCTATCGTCTTGGTTATAAGTTAGGTGAACCTGTGTGGGTAACCATTGAAGGAAGGGGACTTGGTTTAAGTTAGGTTAGTGTTGGTTTGGTTTGGTTTGGTTTTATGTGGTTTTGGTAGATTAGGTTAAGTTAGCGTTAGGGTGTTTAATTATCGGGTGAAATAAGCTAAGGTGTCTAATCTTCAGGTAATACTTTAACCTGTTAGATGTATCACCACCACTACGAGAGGAGCTGTGAAGAGCTGATCACACCCAGCATCTCTTTATCTGTACTAGGAAATACATCACATTAATCTCAAGAGGGTTGTTCAGCAAAAATTCATGTAGTCTCAACTGGGAAAAATAAATCATCGAGAAGTCTAAGGTTTAGTCTATATTTCACGTTATTTTCAGATATAATGACGAAAGGGAGAGGTGTATGCACATATGGATAACTTAGGTGAATATTAAACCTGCATATAGTATTTCAAATCTGGTGTGATAAAAGTTATATTTTTGTATAGAATTTGAGGATCATTGTATTAAAACACTATACACTATGGCCTGAATCTCCGGAGTAATAAAACGTAATATGTTAGCTTAATAACATTACATTTTTCTTCCCTGAGCACCAATGTAATCATAGACCTCCGCCTTAATTTATGAAAACCTCTCTCTTTTTTTTTAATCCTGGAGTATTAACTCGTAAGAATATAATATTAAACTAAGCAAACAGTGTCATGAGATTACTAAACTGCTTCTTGACCCGCCAGCTGTGTACAGGAGACAGCACTAACAACACCCTGAGCGAACAACACCGAATAACTCACCATTTAA